TTGCAACTAGCTATTGCTCAGATGCAATAAGAATAATTTCCTGATCTAAGATCAAGTGTTATTCTCTTATACATATTTTCATTATATTAAACACATAAACAACTGATTGTCAGATTTATTATCAAACACATGTGTTAAAATTATATTTGGAGAAAAGGCTTCATTATAAAACACATGTGTTTATTATTCATGTAAGGTTTTCATTATAAAACACATGTGTTTATTATTCAAGTGGGGTCTTAAAAACACATGTGTTTATTATTCTAGGGAGGTCTCTATTATAAAACACACATGTTTATTTCACGTAAGGTCTTTATTATAAAACACATACTTTAATTATTGAAGAAAGGTCTTCATTGTAAAACACATGTGTTTATTATTTTAAGTTTTCATTATGAAATCCATTTTTTGATGATTGAAGTATTAGGTGTTTAATATTACAATATGCATGTGTTTTTGATAAACACCTTATCTTAATCTCAATAGAGACCTTCCTTTTGTCGACATGTCCTCTGTCATGCAATGCCAGCCCACAACTTATATGCGATTACCGTACATGAAAGAGTAGCTCTTGACGCCTAATGAAATAAATTAGCACAATTCTCTACACAGGCATGCTATAACGACGTTTGCCATATCAGCTTTGCAGTTATTAGGACATTATTACTTTCTTCAGTATTCTCTATGATTTAGGGAATTGATCAGCAAAACCAGCCATGGTGCACTGGGAATTGGAATAACAAATACAAATTGCTTTAAATTGATCATCTTTTCATATGGAACGATTCAAGATCTAGACAAGTGGAAATCAAGCGCTTCTCATTTGTCAAAACTGCCAATTTTAGAAATGAATTGTTTTCTGTCTCGAATGTCCTGAAGAAATTGGTCTTGCATAATTTGTTATGGTAATTCCTAAGAAAATTCCATTTTGTACCTGGGGACTTCTACATTGAATACAAAATAGGTTTAAAATTTGAATAGAAATAATGTTATATTTGCATGATGTTATTAGTTACAATACAGGAGTCTATTGACATATCAATTAAATTGATTGAATCTATCTTATCAATGAACAATGAAAATTATTATATGGGCAAAACAATAGATGTAATACATATTAGCAACATTGTATTATTTTAAGTATGTCAGATAGTATATTATGTATATCATGTATTGGATTGTATTGTATTTTGGTTACCACCATATTTTGGCAAGCAATACCCCATTGGTATAAATACAGAGCCAGAGACCTCTCCTTGGCGGAGTCCTGAGTACATACCACAGCCTTTTTATGTCCCCACCACATAGTGTGGGGCCATATTGTTGGCCTAGGCGTGTTCATCTGTCAGTCCATCCGTCTGTCCATACATCCGGCAGTTTTCTCCAAAACCCCTACAGATATCACCTTCAAATATTCAGGGATAACTTATGAGTGCATTCAGATGTGGAAGAAATTTTTTTAACTCGATATGTACTTCCTGTCGGCCATTTTGAAGTCAAATGCTAAAATCCTTGTCTGCTAGCTTTAAGAAAAACGGCTTCACAATTGCTTTTAAAACTTTAACATATTGTTCAGCTCTCTTCATTCTACATCTGATTAGGTTTTGGACCTGTTAGCTCAGTCATGGCAGCCATTTTGAATGTCTTAAGAAAAATTAGCGAAAAGTTGCATTTTTAGTTTGAACAACATGTAATCATTGAGGAAAATAAAATGAAATAGATTTGTACAGCATTATGATTTAATCAACAAAAGAACCTCTATTTTCTTCTTATTGCTCGCGATGTCAGCAGGAACTTGCTCGCGATTTTGAGAATTAACGTTGTCACCGTGTTTATTAATCATTATTATATTATTCTAAACAACATTTCCTTCTAAAACTTCTATTGAAACACTACACTCAGGAGAGTTACTAAATTAAGTTCTGTATCATGTCGTGCTTTGCTATATCTCTTCAGTATTTCTCCCATGATCATACTGGCATTCAAAAACCGTTTATGTAACTTAAGTGAGGAATTAAATCGATGATTCTGTTGTCTTCTGAACTATTTGTTCGCAAATATTTACATTTTCTTAAACATATGATACTGATACACGTTTGTATTAAAAATGTTGTTGGAATTCTGCTAACAACGTGTGAAATAAGGAAAAAAGAAAAATCGTAACTTTGATGTTCTAACGTTTTGTAACCAAAATGAACCGTTTTGGTAACCAGCGTAATCGAGTTGATCACCAGTGACATTGACAGGGTCATCCAATAGTGTTCCATTTGAGTTTCAGACAGATTCAACTAACACTTTTTGATAAATCATGAAATTAAGTGACTATTGCAAGTTTCTAGCATCGAAGTCAATGGTAATGTGGCCCAAGCAAATCAAAGACAAACAAGGGTGACATCTATTCTGTAAGCTTTATTCAGCTATACGATTGAATGTACAGATTTCAATGAGGTACAGTGAAACCTGTAGGATGTAACACCTCTCTGTAAGGAACACCTTTTATGGAACAATTTATATATTATATCCTCTCTATAAGGAACATCAGTCTACAGTAGAAACTGCTATAAGCAGAGAACCTCTGTTGTAGAACATCTAACTAGTGTCCTGCAACCCATTGGCTCTATGTTAAATAACCTCTGTAAGTGGAAAGTACAAGTAAACACTTTTTCGTAGCCCCAATGACATTCCGCTTAGATGGATGCAAACTTAACTATTTTGGTCAGTACAGAGTGTGTTCCATTTGTACAGTTACTGCACTTACTATCGCATCTTAATGGTCAGTATACACTTCTATCAAGACTTGAAAGTGGATGGGACACAGCCTGGTTAGATTTTTCCAACAGATACATTATTTAACAGACTTGGATTACTTTGAAGCCACATGGGCAATTATACTGAGATACACCCAGGGGCCATTCCTGTGTCTCTATAGTGCTTTTAATTACTTCATTGGTAAAATCCAGGCACTTGTAATATCCATAGAGTTACAATGATTCTCTCTGTTAAAAGTTCATTTAGGGTCATACTGTCCTGATCAGGTCATAATAAAGGGACCTAATATTACAGGTGCCATATTATATTGTATACAAAGGAGCTGTCTAAGGGCATGAATATACTTCAATGGTATGTCCAATACACAGGGTGAAAATAAACTCTTAATGAAATTGCAGAATAGCAAATATTATTATCCTCTAGTTGCCAATAGCGAGTATAGGAGATCAGAATGCTCCAGCATTAATTTGCAATAAAATACAAAGTCTGAGCGAGACTTACGTTTTTGCTTGATAATGAACACAATGAATATAAGAACATTTTCGTGATCAAAAGATTCAGTCTTATATCTGAAACTCAGTTTTATTCATCAACTGCATTAGTTTAATAAATCACTAAATAATATATGTAACATAAATAAGAATTATTTTGGATATAGGATTTCTTATATTTTATTTATTTATATACTAGTATAAATGAAGCTGAGTGAAACCCCTGGGGGAAAACATACCTATTTACAGTTGTATTTGAATGGATGTTATCACGAAACACAAACTATCTTATACTATATAAGGATCCATTCCTACATAAGAATTTAACTACAAATCACAGCCTTTTATATTACTGCCAGATGTGGTGACATATTGTTATAGTCTCTAACTTTTTGTGGATGGTGGTTAGCGGTTGATGTTTGGCAGTTGACAGTTGGCATCTGTAACAAATGGCAGGTGGTGACAATTTGCATGTTATTGCCTTATGTACCAGTTGGTTGCGCACCACTCACTCAAACCCCATGCCAAACAAGTTAGTCAGTCTTGTCGTTCTATTCGTTTTAAAAATAGTAATGAGTGAATTACAAAATGTTACAATATCTTTACCCTGGAAATACAAGATGATTTAAAGCAAATGTAATATCTTATTGTAATATTGATAAGCAAATAGGCAGAGAAAAAAGGTGGGAAATTATGGGTACTAGATTAGATTAGACTAGTGTGGTTAGATGCCTTATAAAAAAGAATATGATGGAAAATTGTGTGATTTCTATGATATTATGAATATTGTATATGTTAATGTAACTGCTTTCAAAAAATAATAAAAAAAAGAATGAAATTTCAGGTTAAAAATAAGTAAATGAATTTATCGTGTAAAAATAGTGCATTCTCAATAGGAGAAAGATTCAAGCAAGCAATTGAAATACAATAATATCTTTTATGTGATGTCCCTTGATAATATCTATAGCAGAGACATACAATTAAGAGAATTGTAAAAATACTATTAGAGAACCTCACCGAGTTGTGATAATTCTACAGTTTATTGACACCTTGTGGATTCTTATAGCCAATACAGTTGTCATGGTAACCAATACATAGACTACAGTAATCTGACAATACAAGTGCCACAGCTACACAGGCCTTGTTATGATGGTGTTATTTTTATTATTGTGTTTCTTTACTTGAGAATATGACAAATGAAGCGCAGCTTTATATTTTACATATGACACACATATTGTACATTATATTTTGCATAAATGATTACTAAAAGACAATACCTGCACCATTTAAATCAATGGTATATAATTTATTCTTATATGTAGGAGTTAATATTTGGAATCCATTATACATGTACACGTTTGTTCTAAAGATCAATTGTTTTATAGATGGATTAATAGATGGCAGTTGTGTTTTTTGTCAGATTTGATAAAGTATACAGGGTGTTTCAAAATAAATTATACTGACTTAAACACAAAATAACTATATTAGAGAGATGAAAGAATATTCTTGAAATTTGGTCATCTGACAGACACATATCATAAACAGTCTTCATTCAGTTCTAGAGAAAAGCCCGTTTCGGTACCATCACCCATACATGTATTTCAATATTGTACTGAGATATTGTACTGAGATAAACATACAATAACCCTGTGAATGATAAAGAAGCCGCAACCTGTACTATCCCTTGGAATACACATACCAGTTCCAGTGTTAAGATTGTCTTCATTTATATATTTTCAGTACATATTCTGCATATATTATCGTAAAGAGGGCCAGCGTCAATATGAATTGAGAACAGATACTGAATCTGAGTGCAATGCCTGGGTCGATGGCATAAAACAGGCAAGGTAAGTTCTTCAAAATTTCAAATAATTTTTTTGATGTAATTTATTAACAAACTCAACAACTTGCATCAGTATTTAGTATTATTAAAAAGTTATTATTCAGTATTAAGGAAATGGGAGCTGGGTGTCTATCATTGAATATATTTGATTTTATTACAATACTAGGAAATGTGTCAACATTTACCTTGCATGTAATATACGTATAAATACCTATAAATCTATATATATTTCCTATATCTTCAGTTCAGTAATCTATATATTGTATAGGTTTTAAAAGTTTTACGAAAATAATCCACTTCATATGTCTAATTTTCTAAATTTCATTTTTTTCTTCCTTATTTAATGAAATGTACTCGATCTTGGTCTGTATGAATGTTATCAGCTTCTTATATATTAGGTGTTTGTTTTCTCCAGTTTCAGTATTGTCTTAGAACAAAAAGAGCAATTGGAGCAGAAACATCTACATCTTTTACAAATCTTGGAGAGTGAGAGGCAGGGAAAATGGCACTATGTACAACAAACTGAGGAACTCACCACTGAAGTTAAGAAACTAAAAAACGAGGTAATCATTTCCAGATTCGGCATCAGAACGACCTTTTGTGGGATGTGGGTTCTCTTCATTTTTTAAATGTTTGCTAAAATTGATTAAAAAGTGCAATGAAATGAGGAGTGGTGCTATTAAAACAAAATGAATTGAGCCTATATCTAAAAGATTTTTTAAAAGAGGGAGTAGTACAAATTTTAACTGAGTGGTGAAATTTGGTTGTGGTACAGTTAAATATTGCCTTATTGGGATAAGTTATACTCTTGTGTGTCTTGTCTAATAGTAGGTAGTTACCAGTTTCACCACCAGGTGGCTCATTCGGGTCAGGTAGCGTGGCGGGTAATGTAGAAAGTTCCCTTTAACTTAAATTACACCTGTTTTAGTGGTTCAATTTTCATATCACCCGTAATGCAAATTAAAATATGTTCAGTAAAACAAAATGTTATCTGTCCAATACAAGAAAAGATATTTCACTTTTTGTGATTTTGTAACATGGGGTCTAAGGGGAATCTCCCCGAATTAGAATAATTTATTTTCAAAGTTGATAAACAATTTTCGAAATCATATTTCTAGATGTTCTTTTACATGTACATGTAGATTTCAAATATGACATTACTTTGACTGATTTTTGAATAAATAATGACGTAAAGCAAGATTATTTCTACTCACATCTAGTCTATTTGAACATATAATTACGAAAAATACAAACATGTTAAAGTATGTGAACAAACCCTCAGTCTATGTATATTTTTGTGACATGCATATGGCATGTATGCTTCCACACTGGTGTATTTGGACAGCATTACTCTGCTAATGTAGTGTGCACTGACTCTATTCCAGTTGAAAAACTGTAAAAATGAGCACCGCCCATCCAATCACAAAGTCGATGATGACACGGATGAAAGTGATGAAATTAAGAAAATCAAAAAGGTAAACTGTAAAAAGGTAAAAAGACAGGATTTTTTACTTCTGAAAAATCGTGGTCAGGGACTAGGTGAAGTTTTGAACTACCATTGTTGAGCATTCACACGTACATACCCAAGTATTCTGTATAACGATGAAACTATAACAAGACAAAGATTCTCCTCTACTTCTATTGACCGCTTGGTTATACTGTTTGAAAAATTGTTGCTCCAATTTTTTACAAGGAGTATTTAATATATAAAGGATGCATTTTTAATGCAGTCACCTGTGTGATGTAAAAAAGTGTAAGCATCAATATTTCACGTAAGCTTAAAAAAGCATCAATATTTCACGTCATGATTATACTCTGAGCTCTACTCTATTGTAAACATAAGCTGCCTTACCATATGAAACACAAGTCCCTTACAAACAATTGATCCCACAAACAGCTCACAGGATGATCAGTGCATAATTGTTACCCATTTATGATCACCCCTCGTATAATTCTTTGCAATAAAGCGCCCTCCTTTGTTAATATTCAAATATGCTCTTCATGGTAGTTCAGCGCTGCGTTTTTATGGCATTTATCTTGCGTAACATTAATCCTGTTCACGACCATGGTTGATGCATGCACAGTAGACTAGCAAAGCTTTAGCAAATACAGATTGACAGATTTACCCCTACCCCTTGTTGTCACATAATTACATATGGAGAAAATTTGTGTTTTATTTTCTTCAGTGAAAATTTAACACTAGGGAGGAAAGCACTTTAATAAGTACCCGATGCTCTATATTAAAGATTAATAGTCCTGATGCATGGAGAGACTGTGTTGTAACCCCTATCTGTATTTGCTATTGGCACGCATGATTGAACCTAGACTAGTGTCACTGTAATGTATCATTAAATCATGTGACTTAATGGTAGACAGTAGTGTATAGAGAGGTGGTGGTTTAAGGGGACCAGGTCAAAATGTTGATGTTGTCATAAAATATGATTAATCACATTTCAGGTTGCCCCCTCCCAAGAAATTGCAATCAAATATTTATTGCATTTTCTGTACCTATTGCTACCTGAGACTAAACACAATGTAACATTGTCTGTCACATAGATTTGTACCATGTTATTATAATGCACCTACTATTGTTGAGATGCTCCCTTTGTACTGATTGTGTAATGAGACTTTGATTGTATGATTTCCAAATGCTGTTTGGCATTGCGAATTCTGATAGTGCAGTTGCATATATTGGTTGTGCAGTTGCATTATTTTGTTGTGTAATTAAACATTGCGAATTCCAATTGCGCAGTTGAAAACAGGTTGTGCAATTGCATTATTTGATTGTGTAATTTCCAAACTCTGGTTGACATTGCGAATTCTGATTGTGCAGTTGCATACGCTGGTTGTGCTGTTGCATTATTTGATTGTGCAATTTCCAAACTCTGGTTGACATTGCGAATTCTGATTGTGCAGTTGCATACGCTGGTTGTGCCATTGCATTATTTGATTGTGCAATTTCCAAACTCTGGTTGACATTGCGAATTCTGATTGTGCAGTTGCATACGCTGGTTGTGCTGTTGCATTATTTGATTGTGCAATTTCCAAACTCTGGTTGACATTGCGAATTCTGATTGTGCAGTTGCATATACTGGTTGTGCTGTTGCATTATTTGATTTTGCAAATTTCAAACAATGGTGGCATTGCGTATTCTGGTTGTGCAGTTGCATTATTTGATTATGCAATTGTCAAACACTGGTTGGCATTGCAAAATCTGATTTTGCAGTTGCATATACTAGTTTTGCAGTTGCATATACTGGTTCAGTTGCATTTACACTGGTTGTGAAATAACATTCTTTTTGTTGATCAGTTGTAAATTCTAATTGTGTGGCTGAATCACTGTGTATTGCATTTGAATCCTCAGTACAGGTTAGTTTATTCCTCTGCAGGTAATTATGTACAGTAAAACCTGTCTAAGTGGAACCCTTTGGTGCCTTTAAAAGTGTTTCAGTTAGGAGGTGTTCTACTTATGGAGTTTCGTTTACCAATAAGTAAGTTGATCTTGGGACCCTGGAAATGGTTTCACTTACAAAGGCGTTCCACTTCCAGATGTGTTCAACTTCACAGGTTTCACTGTACATGTAGATAAATTCTACACTTAAACAAATTCAGTAAAAATAACTTTTGTATGTTCTTTCACGGTATTACATGCTATAATCTAGAATAACTATATGTCTATTCCAGGAATACATGTATCTTAGTTAATTGGAATAACAGCATTGGTATTGATTTTAAAATTTAGAATAGAGTAATAGTTTAAGGTGAAATTGCTTATTCCACATGGGCAAATGGGCATTGGGATATTTTCAGTATCCTATATATTATCTTATTATTGTCAATATCTTTCTTTTTGGTGAAAATGATAAATTATCAATCGATGCAATTATATATTTACTGACATGTTAGGGGGCATTTCCAAAGATCGATGTCAAAAAGTTAACTGTATTTGAATAGCTATGGGGAAGCGGGCCATTAGCCTTAAAAGTTGGGTTTCCATCTTTGTTCCCAGGAATTTTATTTGAACAATTTTTATTTGTTAGATATAAACTCGGAATTCTACAGTGAGATACAATACAAGAGATAATCTTCTGCTGATACTATATAAAATACAGATTGGAATAATTAAAGAAAAATGACTATTACATATTATGTTAGATGTAGTGTGACTCAATGCAGTGATGCATATCAACATTTCTCAGTTATGAGAGGAAGGGTGGGGGTTACATATTAACTGTTCAAATACAGTTAGTACCCATACATTGAACATTTGAGATGCTATAACATCTTAAACAACGGCATATGGAATCAAACTGAGATGTGTAGGGTACACTAGAGTACATTACCAGAGTTTTTCAACTAGAAAAATTCCTTAATCCATTGTAGCAAAGAATTTGTGACAATGAAGTAAAAGAACAATAGACTTCGGAATCCTTAATATTATGACCTCCCACAGTAATATACCCTGATATATGATAAAGAAAAAGACTTCTTACAGGTACAGAGTTTCTTTCGAGGTTGGCTATGTAGACGTCGTTGGAAACAAATTGTAGATGAATACATCAGGTCTGAACATGCAGAGAGTATGCGTAAGCGGAATAGTATTGTGTTCGGTATGGTGGAGTGTGAAGAAGAATATGTTCAGCAACTTTCTACACTTGTCTCATGTTTTCTACGTCCTCTCAAGATGGCCGCCAGCTCTAAGAAGCCACCGATTACCCATGAAGATGTCAATTCTATATTCTTAAATAGGTGAGAATGTATCCAGGACTCCAGGGTTTGTATAGTCAATACAATGAAAGGCCAGTGGAAACCAAAATTAATTTGACTTTGATTAAATAAATTATGGAAAAACAGGAAATTTCAAAATGGCTTTGAAAATTGCTAAAATAGTCAGGAAAAGAAATCATGACAAAAAAGCCAGAAAATGCGGGAATTTACCACTAGAAATGTGTATCATTATGCCCAATTTATGGGGATCGTCTATAAAAACTACATGTCCAGTGGTTTGTTTCTGCTTTCCATTGATAAGTTTTCCTTTTTATTAATTTTAAGAATATGAATATTTAGTTAACTTTAAATTAAATATGATATGGTATATAATGTTTTTCTTTTCAGTGAGACAGTATTATTTTTGCATCAGATATTCTATAAAGGCCTCATGGCTCGTATGGAAAACTGGCCAACCCTAGTTCTCGGTAAGTTAACTATGTTTTTATTAACCAACCATTGCTTTGTATATATGTATAGAGGGAAATGTTTGACATGTTGCTCCTTTTTTCAGGGGATCTATATGAAAAGTTTCCCCCTATATTTGACATGTTGTTCTCTTTATTTTAGGGGATCTATTCGACACATTGTTCACTATATTACAGGGGTTCCATTTGACATGTTGATCCCTATATTTCAGGGGATCTATTTGACATGTTGCTCCTTATATTTCAGGGGATCTATTTGATATGTTGCTCCCTATATTTCAGGGGATCTATTTGACATGTTGCTCCCTATATTTCAGGGGATCTATTTGACATGTTGCTCCCTATATTTCAGGGGATCTATTTGACATGTCGCTCCCTATATTTCAGGTGATCTATTTGATATGTTGCTCCCTATATTTCAGGGGATCTATTTGACATGTTGCTCCCTATATTTCAGGGGATCTATTTGACATGTTGCTCCCTATATTTCAGGTGATCTATTTAACATGTTGCTCCATATATTTCAGGGGATCTGTTTGACATGTTGCTCCCTATATTTCAGGGGATCTATTTGCCATGTTGCTCCCTATATTTCAGGGGATCTATTTGATATGTTGCTCCCTATATTTCAGGGGATCTATTTGACATGTTGCTCCCTATATTTCAGGGGATCTTTTTGACATGTTGCTCTCTATATTTCAGGGGATCTATTTGACATGTTGCTCCCTATATTTCAGGGGATCTATTTAACATGTTGCTCCCTATATTTCAGGGGATGTATTTGACATGTTGCTCCCTATATTTCAGGGGATCTATTTGACATGTTGCTCCCTATATTTCAGGGGATCTATTTGACATGTTGCTCCCTATGCTGGGCATATATCAGGAGTATGTACGCAATCATCATTACAGTTTGCAAGTTCTGGCTGAGTATAAACAAAAGCTGGAGTTCAATTCCTTGCTCAAACGATACGAAGAGAAACCAAGCTGTGAAGGGAGATCCTTAGAAACCTTTCTTACATATCCTATGCACCAGGTAAATTTTTTTATTAATTAAATAAATGATAATTATCAATGAAATGATGGAGGATAGTGGTGGATTTCTGGAGAGCTGCAAAGTACGTATGAGCATGGGCCACTCTTAAAATTACTTGTAGTTTTCATGATCCCATCGAATGAGGTTAGGGGGATGTAGAGAATCGCTCCATCCATCCATCCATCCATTCATCCTTCCATCCATCCAACTGTCTGGGCAAAAACTCAAATACTGTTAGACTAATATTGTTTTTTATATTATATGCCTCATGTGAGTACAAGTTATGCTCGAAAGCTGATTTTCTTTATTGATAATAACTTCACTGTTTTTACTATATTCTAGATACCTCGCTATATAATCACCCTACATGAGCTTTTGGCTCACACTCCGCATGACCATGTTGAAAGAAAAAGTCTTGAGTTTGCCAAGAGTAAACTGGAAGAATTGTCACATGTAAGTACCTTTTTATCATACTTTTTCAATGGGATACTGTATAAGTTGTATTTAATCCGAGTGGTTAATATGCCAAATGGTCAAATTTTATCATTTCCTAATTTTAATTTTTCAAATGACAAGAAATTTCCCATTGGATAACATTATGAAGATAATATGTTCGGCATGGGGCAATAGACAAATTAAATGATAAGGACAAATTAGCACTTCTGCAGTATATGCATGCCTCTATGTGATCGGGCATCACATAATTCTTGTTATTGCAATTTCAGGAAAATTGATTACCTGTACCAGTATTTTGAGCTGCTGTTGTGACCCACATTTAAATTTTTATGTCATTAAGACCTGGATGATAAACACGTTAGTCAATAAAACATGTGACATTCCTTGTCTCACTTGAATTTGAATTTAAGAAACCTAATAGACGCTGAAATAATTTGCAATAAGAAAAATACTGTATGCGTTACATTTAATTCAAAAAGTCAATTTTATAATTCTTACTTGTAGATCATGCAGGAGGAAGTGAGTGAAACGGAAAATATTCGTAAAAACCTTGCTATTGAGAGGATGATTATCGAAGGCTGTGATATTCTTCTAGATGTAAACCAGACCTTTGTTAGACAAGGTAATTAAGTCACTATGGTAAAGGACAAGAGATTTTTCATATCAATATTTTTATGTCACCACCACAAGTGATGACAGATTGTTATAGTCTCCAACTTTATTGTGAATGGTGTTCGGTGGCTTAGTATTCAGAGTTTGGCATTCACAGTGATCAAATACTGACGTTATTTTGATCAAGTACCGGGAATCACTTTTAAATAGAAAATCCACGCTCTCTTGATTTTTTTGTAAAACACGTTTTCTTGAAGAGCAGAATAGAAGTACTTAAAATTATCAGAATTTTCTAATTTTTTCAATGGTGATACTAGGGAGGCTGTATTACTATTAAGATAGATATACTGCATCTGGACACATCATTTCGTACAGTACACTCGTGATCAGCGCTCGTAGCGGTGCTCAAAATTTTGTCACTTTTTGATCACTGTGATTCAGGGTTGGTCATCTGTAATAAATAGCAGATGGTACAGTGACATTTTGCAGTGGTTTCATTAGCAGCAGGCAACAGGCGATCTTCAGCGGTTGTTTTCACAAAATTGCCTATTTTAGGGACTTTTCCATGTTAAATTTATGATTTCCATTAGTTTTGTCTCTTGCTTTTATTTATTTCACCTTTTGTGGGAAGTTGTAGTGAAACCCCTGATAATGCCAATACTTAATTTTATGTTGCCACCACTAAGAAATGGTGACATGAAATAGTTATTATCTTTAACAAATGTTACATTTTTGTAATCATTTGCATTAATTACATGGTGGTGACATTTAGTCATCGTGTTACTGTTTCTGCATACGTTCATTGGAAATAAATTCAAATAAAATACAAAACTTGACATAGAACAAATATTTATGATGTTTATATGAAGGTGTCATAAAAGACGTAAAGTGTTCCTTTAATTATTTCACTTTTCATTTTTACTTTTGATGTTTTAATTCCAGGATCCCTTCTACAGGTGCTCATAGAGAAACCAAAATCTGGGAGAGGTCGGCTCAGTCCCTTCAGTCAGACTTTTAAAGAATCGAAAAAAGAAATTGTGCGTCAAGTTTTCTTATTTACAAACCATTTGTTAATCACCATGAGAGCAAATAATGGGAGACTACATCTTGCCAAGGTAAGACTTCATTTCATCTTCTTGTATGTTGCCATTATCCCAGTGAATAAAGTTCAGTGGGTTGAAGCCCGCAATACATACATTAGTCTATATACATGTATGTCTATATGTGCTGGTAATAACTCAAGTTACAATTGTACAATGAAATTCTTCATGTATTGTTGGAAGATGTATTAAGTGAATGAGAAATCAGGAATTTTCGTTGACTTGAGATCTGATTTAATCAAGCTCTTTAATAAGCTATGCAAATCGGAAGTATTCAAAAGCAAGTCATGATATGAATGAATCTAGGGCTCTAGACATCATCCACTCTGTTTCATCCTTCTTCACACTAAATTCAATATACATTGTGTAATCCAATGCATGGAGGATTACTGGATGAGCTCAGACCAATTTTTAGCTTACGGTATTGCATTTTTCGAATTATGTTAACTATATGTAGTATATAATTTCTCATTGATTTTGAAAATAATAGGGTCTAGTTTTTCAGCCTCTTCGAATTATTGCCATTTATACCCCCTGGCTACTTTTATGAGGGGGTACTAGAATAAGCATTAATAATTTCTGTCATATCCCTCCAATCACATTTATATTTCTAGGGATAATGTATCTATGTATAACTAGTTGCCATGACAAATCTAATCATGATTGGTCAAGTGGTTGCCATAGCAACACAACCTAAGTGCGAAAAACTGTAAATATTTCAAATAAATCCATCAGTTCTTTAAAAGGTAAATGGCTGCTTATCTCTTCAGATTGGACCAACTGACATTAAGTTGACTTTAAAAATATATTCAAGGAGTTTTCAATATGACAACATAATAAAAATGATAAGGTAAATGAAATCTACGACTCTAGTCCGTAGTCATATTTTGTCACTACCATTCACAATACTCAAAAGTGGGCGTGGCATTTTCAGGTCACAATCCTAAACAACTTCTGTTATGTACCTCCTATCACATTCATACTTTCAGGGAGTAAGTATATGTATGTAGTTAATTGATACAGCAAGTTTGATCATGTTTGGTGAAATCGTTGCCATAGTCACAACTTATGTGCAAAAAGTGCAAACATTTTGATAGATCCACCAACAATGATTTCATATTGCACAGTAAGTTTGAAAACATATTTAGGTCGTTGTTTATAAGTAAGCATTGGTGAAATCATCTGTAAGTCAATGTTACCATCTCAAGATTGATTTTTAATGTTACCCTTATAAAAAATTCAACCTTGAAAGTCCGAATTTAAACCGTTTCCATCAATCATTGAATACCGATTGTTTCAACTACTAAGATCAAAGGAAAAACCATTGTACGGTGATAAGCAATCATTGTGCAACCATTGCGTTCAACCAAACAAAGTCAACTCTTTTTCAATGACTGCGCAACCATTTCTATACAATCATTGTAATCTGCAACCATTGTAAACTGCAACCATTTCACATTGAAATGTAAATGGTTGCAATACGTTTTGTTCAATGATTACATAGTTCAAGCACTGCAACCATCCTGAATTGGTATCGTTCCAAAAAAGTAATCATTTTACTTGAATTAAAATTATCTTTAAGTAAGGATTTGAATCTACCTCTATTCAACAACAGTATATTAGGATATTTTTTCTGCAAGCATACATGTATGTTTATTATAGTAAATTACTAAATTCATGTTCATATGTTTCTTTCTCCAGTACGGATTTAGGAATGCGATACCAGACTAGTTTTCCACTCAATGGCATATGATAATTTATGTTCTCTGTCATTTACATTATTTACACAATTAAAAGTACCATATCTAGTGTTTATTTCCCGTTATCTGATATTGCCAAAATAATGTATTTTTAATGTTAATTATGAAAAGAATTGAGCAAAATTCCAATTTGGTTAAGAAATTGACCAAGGAAAATCTTAAGATTTCCTTTAAACTTAACAAAATCACAAGATGAGACCCCATTGTTTTTGTTCATGATTAGACTGATATACATGTATGATCAAAAGAAGCAGGGTATGATGTACAAAATAATACAAACATGTAATCACAAGTTGATTGCTTTATTTAGTGAAATTTTTTTTATAGTAATAATGCATTCAGCCACCAAAGACTTAATTTTCACAGTTTCAATGGAAAACATCTGAATTAATAATTTCAGTAAAATTTTGTCTAGTTAGATGGTTTAGACAGTCCAGTAGTCAGCCCCCCAGCAAAATGGGTCTTCAAATGTATCCATGTGTAGTTAACACCAAATATCAAGAGTATGACTCACTAAAATTTCAAAATACAAACAAGAGGACTATTTTGATATTGACTGTATATTATGTGTGAAACACATTATTCACAACAGATTTAATTACCATGTTCTTTCTTGGCAAATATTTTTTATAACAATGCTCAACACAACAATACCTACTACATATTGATATTCTCATGGATTTAAGAAAATCAAAATGCTTGAACAGCCAATTAAAACGGTTGAACAGCTAATTAAAACGGTTGAACAGCTAATTAAAACGGTTGAACGGCTAATTAAAATGCTTGACCAGAAAAAGGGTTCATAGTCCTAGTTTCTGTTATATCTATTTTCATCTTGTGTTATACTATATATTTATTTTAATTATCTATTTCATGCAGAGGGGGGGAGTTAAAATTTAAAAAGTGTTTTCAGATTTTTGAGGGTTTATTTGTTTATTCAATTACTTCAATAAGTGCTGAGAAATCTCAAATAGCAAATATATGAAACTGCAAATAATATTTTCAGAATTTTTTATTTAGTTTGTTTTACCATAGGCATTCAATAGATTGGAAGTCCATGGTTTTACTTTATTCACTAGGGCAGAGCATTTGTACTGAAAAGTGTTTTCAGTTTAAATGATATGTGTTGATGATTAAAAAATAAAAACCAAAAACAGGGCTTATTTTTCAAAACTCTAAACTTGGAAAAATCTGGAGGAAAATATGGGAGATTTTCTTTGGCAAATTATTCTGTGTATGGAATAATTTAAATTACATAGGATGCTTCCTTTATAGCAGACTCTAATCAAACTGATATAATAAGGTTTGTTTTGCCTTGCCGAATTATTTTTGTTTTGTTTATAGATTAATGGATTAATAAAGTTTCTTTAGACACATCCTTCAAAGCAGACTCTAATCAAACTAGATAGACTGAGTCTAACTGTAATCAGAGTTTTTTAAGTTTTGCTTATCGACTTAATTATTTAAAACACATCCTGTAATGTCTGATTGCATTTTCTCTATCAAATCAAAAATATCAAATCAAAACAGATTATTTTCCCATTGAAGGATTTCTTCCTTCCAGACACATCTTCCTTCCTTTATAATTGCGATGATTGCAAGGTGAAGTGTAAAATCCAAGACTTGACCCAATCAAAATTTTTTTCAAATGATTTTGCAATAACTTAAAAAGTAGTGAAGTGATTTTGTAAAAATGATAGTCATGACAGCTAGGGGGATTTGCTATGCCTAAGCATTGCTGTTATCTAGATAATATACATGTGAGTTAGACAATCACCATCCTTCAAAGTTAGATGAAAATTGGTTCAATATATTTTCATTCACAAGACAAGTTTACTTAACTATTTCAATACTTTAAATATCTTTTTGATCAAACCATTTAAATTCTGACATGTACAGTATGCATGAAATACACACATTTGAGATATATTTTTTAAAGAGCAAGATAATTATTTTATGTTGTATTGAGATAAAATTGCCATAGTTTTAAAGGGTTGCATTCGATTGAAACGGTTGCAAGAAATGCAACCAAAATTGTCAAGCGTTTACAATGGTTACATATGATTGAAACATTTCAATGAGTTTACAACCAAAATTGTAATGGTTGCATCGTAACGGTTGGCATGGTTGCATAAATGATCGAATCATTGATTGTACAATGATTGTGCAACGGTTTAAATTCGGACTTTCAAGGTTGAATTTTTTATAAGGGTAACAACTGTGTATAGTGGGCGTGGTACATTCAGGTAACAAAAACCAACCATCTTATTTAATAAGGCACTATTAGTATCAACTATATCAACACAGTTAACACGTGTACATATAAGATATTCCATTTAGGTAAGTTAGGACACAATTGATAAAATGATTGATTTTTCAAAACTTTATTGCTGTAATGATGTCAACATCCATAATCTAAGAATTCATGTTATTAACTAAATAAGATGTAAAAATAATTTATTTTTTGTATCAAATTTAGCAATTATGACTAACAAAACGTTAATAACGTTTCTTTTTCATATTGAACGTTTAAAAGTATTTATATACCTACTAATAAATGGAAAATGCTAATTATATTCACTAACATATTACTGTGTTTGTTTATTGATGAATTTTTACAAATTGTATAGAAGCACCCATAGGTGACATAGCAGATTGAGGTTATTGCAGATCTTATTGAAGTGCTGAAAGGTGCAGGTTAGTGATGTTGATAGGTGCAGGTAAGTGATTAAACCAATACCAAAGTCATCCTCCATACTATCTATTCTGCTCGACACTCTGATAAACCACTAGTTGTTCGTTCTGTTGATACAGATGTTTTCCTACTCCTAATGAAATATTTGAGTCACATAAAACATAAATTACTGATGGATGTTGGAACAAGTGACAAAAAGCGAATTCTAGATATACATGCAATTGCAGCATCCCTTTCATCTGACCTCTGTGAGGCCCTTCCAGGATTCCATGCATTTACTGGTTGTGATTCAACCAGTGCCTTTGTTTGCAAAGACAAACTCCTACCGCCGCGCGTTCTCTGATTGAGAAAGTATTCCTGCACCTGTTCATTTCTCTAGGAACAACTTTAGAGTTAACCAAAGAACAGATGGGTAAGCTTGAACATTTCGTATGTCTTATGTATGGCAAAAAAACTAAGCTAAGGAATATTAACAAGTTACGTTGTTCTCTGTTCCAACAGCAGTACACCCCCAAATCAAATGTGACAATATCATATGAAGGGACACACTTATCCCTCTTGCCACCATGCAAAGATTCCCTAATGCAACATGCACGTCGTGAAAACTACCAAACCTACATATGGAAGAGTGCTCATATAGCAAAACCAGATATTGAAAATCCCAATGCTCATGGGTGGAAGGAGACCAACGAAGGGCTGCAACCTAGTTGGTCATCTCAGCCCATTATACCAAATGAGCTGATTGACAAACTTGCTGATCAGATTGCTGCTGAAGCACTTGGTAAAGCAAATGAGAACATCAATGATGCTGATGTATTAAGTGAGTGAACTGATTTCTTTGCAGTCTATTAAATTAGTAGTTGCTTATGTTGAAGGCTTTGAGTACAGAAGTCTAAATAACTGACATATGATGAAACATGTCATTAAGTTACTCGTTCAGTTACCTTTAGATATTAATATGTAGTTAAGATAATCAGTTAAGGACATAATGTTGTAAATGTAGTGTAGGCATTAGAACTGGATTTGGAAGAAAAGCAGTGAACAATGCAAAAATTAATCCAAATGAACTACATGTATATATCTATAAATCAATACTTACAGTACACAAGCCAAAAATAGTATATTAACAAAGCCATTCATTTATGTTACCATAGCAATCTTTTACCATTAACTTATTATTCGAATCATGTTGTTTTATAGAAAAAACAACTTTATTTTGATTGGTTTAAGAGATTAGTAGTAATTTACTTGTCATTTTGAAATAACTACATTTTTTGCATATAAGATGTGTTGCCATAGCAACCATTTTACCAAACATGATCAAACTTGCTGTATCAATTAACTATATACACATACATACTCCCTGAAAGTATGAATGTGATAGCAAGTACATAACAGAAGTTACTTAGGATTGTTACCTGAAAGTGCCACGCCCACTTTTGAGTATTATGAATGGTAGTGACAAAACATGACTACGGACTAGAGTCGTTGATTTCATTTACCTTATCATTTTTATTATGTTGTCCTATTGAAAACTCCTTAAATATGTTTTTAAAGTCAACTTTATGTCAGTTGGTCCAATCTGAAGAGATAAGCAGCCATTTACCTTTTAAAGAAATTATGGATTTATTTGAAATATTTCCAGTTTTTCGCACTTAAGTTGTGTTGCCATGGCAACCACTTGACCAATCATGATTAGATTTGTCATGGCAACTAGTTATACATAGATACATGATCCCTAGAAATATAAATGTGATTGGAGGGATATGACAGAAATTATTAATGCTTATTCTAGTACCCCCTCATAAAAGTAGCCAGGGGGTATAAATGGCAATAATTCGAAGAGGCTGAAAAACTAGACCCTATTATTTTCAAAATCAATGAGAAATGATATACTACATATAATTAACATAATTCGAAAAATGCAATACCGTAAGCCAAAATTTGGTCTGAGCTCATCCAGTAGATGATGCCTCCACAGTGAATGATGTCTGGATGCCTACATTTGGAGATTCAGTTACAAGTTAAGTGCAATCACAATTAAAGTGAAGTCACTTATTTAAAACGGACATATTGTTTGAGGTTGAGGTTTTGATTATGTCAAAACCAAATTGATTATGTTCTTATGGGATAATGCTTTGTTGACATGACCCCCTATTCATGGATGTTTTATGAATTTCAGCATCATGGGAAGATCCCTCTGACAGACTGCACATTAGTAGAGGATTCAAATTCTGACATTTTCTTCTTTGAGGATGAAAGTAAGTGACCTTTTCAAGATCTCAATTTTTTAACACGATCAACTTGTTAGATGACCCTTACATCTAGCCGTTGTCCAATCAGACAGTTTACTTAAAAATATGCATGTCTTATTTTATATGGTACATGTAATATAGATCAATCCAGTAAATTATGCCACTTATTGGTTATGATGTCCTTTTTATTAGCTCACATGGTGAGCTTTTGCAATCGCTCACTTGTCCGTCTGTCTGTCCGTCTGTCCGTCTGTCTGTCTGTCTGTCTGTCTGTCCGTCAACAATAGTGGCACGTTTTAAAACCTCTGTCGATAGGATTCCTGTTTTAAGTTATTTCTGTTCAACATCAATACAGAAAACTCCCCTATGACTCCTGGTTCAAAAGCTCGCCTATTTTCAAAATGGCCGCCATTTTTGTCTCGCGAAATTCACTTTTGACTGGCACGTTTTAAAACCTCTGTCGATAGGATTCCTGTTTTAAGTTATTTCTGTTCAACATCAATACAGAAAACTCCCCTATGACTCCTGGTTCAAAAGCTCGCCTATTTTCAAAATGGCCGCCATTTTTGTCTCGCGAAATTCACTTTTGACCCATTTCCTAGCTTTACAAATAATTTCAGGTGTCCTACATTGTAAAAATCTGTGTCAATGTAAAGAGTAGATATATGAAATAATTTTGTTACAAAAAATCAGCGAAAAATTATATCTATTTTTTTCTTTTTAGCCATTTTAGTTAACATTGATTTGTCCATCTGACTTGTGAAATCCACTTTTCCGTCAACAACAGTGGCACGTTTTAAAACCTCTGTCGATAAGATTCCTGTTTTAAGTTATTTCTGTTCAACATCAATACAGAAAACTCCCCTATGACTCCTGGCTCAAAAGCTCGCCTATTTTCAAAATGGCCGTCATTTTTGTCTCGCGAAATTCACTTTTGACCTATTTCCTAGCTTTACAAATAATTTCAAGTGTCCTACATTGTAAAATCCATGTCAATGTAAAGAGTAGATGTATGAAATAATTTTGTTACGAAAAATCAGCAAAAAATTATATCCATTTTTTTTAGTTTCAGCCATTTTAGTTAACATTGATTTGTCCATCTGTCTTGCAAAATCCACTTTTGGACCATTTGCCTTAAACCCTCTGTCGATAGGATTCCTGTTTTAAGTTAATTTTGTTCAACATCAATACAAAAAACTCTCCTATGACTCTTGGTTCAAAAGCTCGCCTATTTTCAAAATGGTCACCATTCTTGTCTCGCGAAATTCACTTTTGGCCCATTTCCTAGCTTTACAAATAATTTCAGCAGTCCTGCATTGTAAAAAGCTAGTCACTGTAAAGAGTAGTTGTATGAAAAAATTTTGTTACAAAAAATCGGCAAAATATTATATCAGTTTTTTTTATTTTCAGCCATTTTAGTTAACATTGATTCGTCTGTCTGTCTCTCAGTCAGTCCAAAAAAGTGGCAAGTTTTAAACCTCTGTCAACACTTTTTAAATCCTCTGTAGATAGGATTCCCGAAAAAATAATTTTGTTCAACATCAATAAAGAAAAAAAAACTGTGACTCCTGCTTCAAAATCTCGCCTAATTTCAAAATGGCCACCATTTTTGTCTCGGGAAATTCACTTTTGGCCCATTTCCTAGCTTTACAAATAAGTTCAGGTGTCCTGCATTGTAAAAAGCCATGTCTTTGTAAAGAGTAGTTGTATGAAATAATTTTGTCACAAAAAATCTGCAAAAAATTATACCCGTCTTTTTTTTTCACTTTTGAGCAACACCATGTGAGCCCTGTACCCATGGTACTAATTTTTACAGTTTTAAGACAGAATAGAATGAGATATTCCGTTATGTCAAACTCAAATAGATTCAATTTACTTTGTCAACATTGTAGCTTTCAAAGTACAACTTCATAAATCTAGCTAATATATTCAAGATTCTTTGGTTCTTCAAAAGAGATCAGTCAATTCACTTAATCTGCATTTCTGCTGCAAAGTACAACATCATAGATTTAGCCAATATACTCAAGATTCTTTGGTTCTTCAAAAGAGATCAGTCAATTCACTCAATCAACATTTCTGCTGCAAAGTACAACATCATAGATTTAGCCAATATACTCAAGATTCTTTGGTTCTTCAAAAGAGATCAGTCAATTCACTCAATCAACATTTCTGCTGCAAAGTACAACTTCATAAAGCTAGCCAATATACTCAAGATTCTTTGGTTCATCAAAAGAGATCAGTCAACTCACTTAATCAACATTTCTGCTGCAAAGTACAACTTCATAAAGCTAGCCAATATACTCAAGATTCTTTGTTTCATCAAAAGAGATCAGTCAACTCACTTAATCAACATTTCTGCTGCAAAGTACAACTTCATAAAGCTAGCCAATATACTCAAGATTCTTTGTTTCATCAAAAGAGATCAGTCAACTCACTTAATCAACATTTCTGCTGCAAAGTACAACATCATAAATTTAGCCAATTAGGGTTTATTAGAAATATATAAGCACTAGTGCCAAAGGGAAAAGACCAAAAGTTGTAATGGAACTTAGCAAGAAAAGCAAACTCTAAGTGCATACCAGTCAAGAAAAACAAACCCCATATAGCCCAAAACCATGATCTAATGTGAAAAAAAAGCCATTTTGTGTTTCTTCCAGTCCCATGTGCAACAGTTGAATCAGCGGGCACCAGTCAGGCTGCCCCCTCTAGTCAACCACTCCTCACAGCCGAGGCCTGTGAACAGAGACAGCAACCCAAACTCAATTACCAGGGCTTGGACTTTAGAATCATGGTAGATTCTAAGAGCGGGCCTCCCACCACTATTATTCTGGTCGCCTCAACATTACAGGAGAAAGCTGCTTGGTGCAGTGACGTCAGTCAGGTAGGAATGGGTTGCATGCAAAACATTAACTAATCTTTATTATGTCACCACCAGAAGTGGTTACATATTGTTATAGTGTCCAACTTTTTTGTGGATGCTGCTCGGTGGTTGGCATTCGGTATCTGTAACAAATGGTAGGAAGTGATATTTTGCATGTTAATGCCTTGTTTATCGTGTAGCAGCATTTCTCAGTGGACAGGTCCTGTACATGGAGAAATAAAATTACAGCTTTTTTTGTTTGGACCGAAAATGTGGCAGATGACTGAAATTGTTGTAACCTAGATAAAACCTACCAACTGCCAAAGTAATTTTATAAAATAGATGTTATAAAATCCCTTCAACATTGAACCTGGTGTCCAAATATTATATATTAAATGATTTCTTGAATTTATTTATTTCCAGTGTATTGAAAGTTTACACTATAGTGATTTGCTCAACAGCTCAATGAGTGACACATCATCTGTAACCATGCCACAATCAGTCAGGTAAGAACCAATCAAATGATGCCATGATATTCACTCCTGTCATTCACTTCATATATTTTTCTTTGACGTGATACGTTCTCTCTCATTAGCTCTAAAACAAAGTGAATTTGTATATTGATTATTGAACATATTCCTGTATAGAATCATAAGGAATTTATACATTTTGCAGATCATAAAGGAAATATTTACTCATTGTGAACCACATGGAAAATATTAATTGTGATGAATCATCGGGGAATTATCAACATTTTGAATATTTGAGAAATGTAAATCATAGGACAATATGAGACAAAGTCTACATATTTCAACCAGTGGTTACATATACTGTATACACTGAATATATATACAGTAAAACCTGTGTAAGTGGAACACCCTCTATAAAGTGTTCCACTAATGGAGGTGTTCCACCTACAGAGGTGTTCCACTTACAGGTTTTACTGTTTTTCAAGTACATTGGTAAAATATGTAGGTCAATCATTCATCTACAATACATATTGGTACATAATTGTTCCACCCATTGTGACCATCTAGAAAATATTGTAAACCATTGATAGATATAATGGGAGTAAGTACAGTGTAGACCAACCCCTTTAGTATCCATATATCTAGTACTATGTAGAGTGCACATTGCTTATAGGTCCTCATGTTTGAACTTATCCTATACCTTATGATGGTTATAAAGCATCTGTTTTCAAGAGTCATTGGATTGTTTTCAAGTGTCACTGGATTCTATCAATTCTTTTTTTACTAAGCAGAGTCCAGAGAAGAGTCGATGAATTAAAGAAATTGAAGTAAGAATCATATGCAATCATCAAATTCTTGATTTTCAAAGGTCGGATTGGATTGGATAATATTTGAGTTTCAAAACAGTAAATTTCCAGATCGGTCATTTCTAGTTCTCATATCAGTGAACTAGAAATTGAAGATATTTTGATTTGCATTGGCATGGCAGTTAACTGAACTTTTAAATAAATGCATGAGAATTTATCAACTTTGAGCATGTCTGAATAAAATGTTATTCAATATATTCTTGGCTTTCATTGAATGAATTGAATGTTAATGAAAATATTCTTAGCTTCCATTGAATGTTTTGAATGTTATTGAATATATTCTTGGCTTTAATTGAATGAATTGAATGTTATTGAATATATTCTTGGCTTTCATTGAATGAATTGAATGTTATTGAATATATTCTTGGCTTTAATTGAATGTTAATGAAAATATTCTTAGCTTCCATTGAATGTTTTGATTCTTAATGAATATATTCTTAGCTTCCACATGTAATATAGTTGCAAAATACCAAATATGATTGTTTGAATAAATCAAAATAAAAATTGTGTTGGTAAATTGGTGCTTTAAATGATCAGTATTACAGTATGCACTTGAACTTGCATGTTATGTGAATTATATCTCAAAAATTGATTTATTTTGAGATATAATTCTAATTTAGCAACTATCCACAGTCATTTGCTGATCCTTCTTTTCTGTATTGCCTCATTTCAGTATTATACAGTAGTTACTATATTGAACACTAAAGGGTTGTGTAGGTACATGTAGTCAGATAGTAGATAAAGCTAGATTTAAAGAGACATATTCTGTAGTTTTCTATTTGATATTAGAATGAGGGTCCTTAAGGGTTGTAGGCATGATCTTGCTTGGACAGGTTTAGAAATTTTGGAATCATTATTAAATAGCTTGTCGTAAAGCTGTAGTTTAGAGAGAATGCAGAGGGGAGGGGGGAGAGGGTGAGAGGGGAGAGGGGTGAAGGGAGCAAACCAACAACTAGATGCATCACTAAAAATATGTTATGTAAAATAAATTCACAGTCGAGTTGAAATATGACATGTTGATGAGGTAATCAGACTATAGAAGGATACCCTGACTGTGCTTTTTCTCACTTTCAGCTACTCACGTTAAATCTTGTGCCCCGTGATTGTTATACATATTGTGCTCTGACGTGTTTCTATTCCTCTTTCCTGTCAGGTATATCGCAAGTACAGAAATATGGTGAGTTTTCTCCACTGTGGGGTTGTCTCAAAAAGTGTTGCTCTAAATTCTACACTTAATCTTTGTAATTTACTGCTGGGTTACCCATTCACCCGCTCTTCTTAATAAACCATATTTTTGGAACGTTTTTGGGGTATTTAAAAAATACAAGTAATGGCCAATCCATTAAACAAATTTGATTATGTGTTAAATTTATCGGGAAGCATATGAGGCAACCCCTTAACTATATGCATAGACATCATAAATATTCACAGAGTAAAATTATATGATGCTGAAGTAATTATTTTGAACAATGTTTAACAATTATTTCCCAAGTGAAAATATTGCAGAAAATTAGTCTGTGGATATTTAGCGTGTGAAATGCATTTTATTCTAAATCTATTTGACGAACCATTTCTAAGTTTCAATCTAATTCGCAAACAGTGATATCTGAAATATATGCTGAGCAACAAAATTGTTACTTATAAATGGCATTCTCTGAGGTTTTGGAAAGTCTTTCTTAATGCAGCTAAAAATGTACATGAATATTGTATATTATCTGAAAGTATGTCCTTAATTGCTTGTTATCGTACTTAAAAAGGCACGATATTGTTGTCAGCTTCGCGGGTGTAAGTGGGTAGGTGGGTGATGGCATCTCATTTTTCTTATCTGCGCTTGTCCAGACAAAATCCTTGACGGATTGACTTGAAAATATCAGGGATGTTTTGAGTACAACAATCTAGAATCTAATATAGTTTTTTAGGCATGCTGGGTAAACTTTAAAGCAGCCGTTCTATTTTTTATGTACGATATTGTTCACCTTGTGCCTTGTTGATATCTCAACACTTCAATAGTAGTATACTCTTGGAATTTTACCTCTGATTTATTAAACACAAATGCATGGCACATATCAGCCTTGCTTAAGCTGGTACTTTTATGTCACCATCACTAGTTGTGACATATTGTTATAGTCTCCAACTTTTTTATGGAAAGTGTTCGGTGTCTGTCATCCGACAGTTCAGAGTTTGGTATCTGTAGTAAATGAATTATGCAAGATTTGTTCAACTGAGCATAAATAATGAGCTATCGCTGCAACGCTGTTGCTGATTAGCTAAAAGCGAAACATATAAGGCTCCGCACAATTAGTCGAAATTGACTGACAATGATAAACTGTCGGTTAAGCACATGTCGATGTGATTGGTACAATGTAAAAAAATAAAAAGACACAGACTTAAGCAAGACTTATGACACATGTAACATTGTAAATGCATGCATTTATGTTGCAAAAGGGTCTTTGCTCAAATCTATCATCTATATTTTCAGGGAAAATGATTGAATCAGTGTCCCAAACAAACTATCAAAACAGTGTTCTCTCGGTTTGTCACGCATAAGCTCTACAGTTAAAATACGTTTTAATCTTACAGCTGGTCAAAGAATTTGAACTGGAATTTGTGTGACTTTGGAAAGGCTATAAAGTGATTCTTGAATTACTCAGATGCGAGTAGATAGTTACCAGTTTCGCCACCAGGTGGCTGATTCGGGGGAATTAACATGGCAGGGTATTACAAAATTCCCTTAAACTTAAATATGCATCAGTTCTAGTGGTTCACTTTTCATATTACCCTTATGTATCTGATAGTTATACAAATTAACATATGTCCAGTAAAAGAAAATATTATCTGCCCAACACAAGAAAAGATATTTCACTTTTTGTGGTTTTACAACATGGGGTCTATGGGGAATCTCCCCGACCTAGAATTCACATTTTCAAAGAAAATTAAATTTTCAAAGTTGATAAACTCTTTTCAAAACCACATTTCTAAATGTAATTTTACATGTAGATTCCAAATATGACATCAGTTTGACTGAATTGTGAATTTTTAATGACATAAATCAAGATTATTTCTACTCGCATCTGGGATATTCCCTTCATTTATATCATCGATCTCTCTCAGCTTATGGAATTGGAAGCTAATTGGCTTTTAATTACATCTATCACTTTTGAAATTGTTATTTGTACAAGCAGTGTACAAAAGAATAACTCGAAACATGACTTTATCAAGAAATCATTTATGTCAGCATCGTTTTTTACAAGCTAAACCAAGTAGATATAATTTGAACTGATTTCTCATGTAATGTTTTATTTATCATTAATTTTTATATTGTCCATCTTGTATTTTTGTATGTGTATTGTAATACCTAAACACAAATACTGCATAGTCTATTCCTATTAGAATTTTGTCTGTGTTTAAACATTAAAAATGTTTTCAGTTTTAGTCATATTTGCATGAATACACTCACATGTGAAGGGGGGGGGACTTGTAATATGTGGCATGTTTATTACCTGTTTGCAATACTAAATTTCAGCTAGACCCATTTTGATGAATATTTGTAAATACTTGGAAAATATCCATGTTTTTATGGAACAAGTGTTGTGTTTATAATTCTAAAACAAATGAATAGAAAACTTATGCAACATTAAAAGCATGACATTTTTCCAAGATGTGGTGGTGAATAATGAATATGGATTTAAATTAAAATTTTATGACGTTTGTACTTTATTCACATCTCCAGGTCTGATCCGAAGTTATTCAAGGATGATGTGGACATTAAATTTAGCCGAACTCTAAACTCGTGCAAAGTTCCGCAGGTAATTCTCCATGTTATTTGTGATTGAAGATTTTGAATAATAAAGGGAAAAGGCCTCTTCACAGTTGACAACATTTAATTCTAAATGTCATATTTTTTGAAAATGTGTTTTCTTCTGTTCACAAAAAATGAACTATTTAATCGGATATAAATATATCTGAACACCTTTCAATGAGAACACATTTTTGGTTCAATTTTCTTTATGTGCCAAAGACATCCATGTTACAAAACCTTGAAAAGTGAACTCCTCTGATTACCTGTCTATCTTGGAAACTAACTTTAATTAAATAATGGAATTTTAGATACGACATGCCTCTGTTGAGAAGCTTTTGGAGAGATTGACGGATCTACGATTCATGAGCATCGACTTCATCAATACATTCCTACTCACATATCGTGTCTTTACGACAGGACACAAAGTTCTAGATGCTTTGAGGAAAGTCTACCAGAACCCCGAGTTTGGAAACTTGGAGAATAGCCTCGCTTTGAACTCAATGACGTGAGACAATCTTCATATTTTTATTCACCCAAATATCAGACATTAGATCATTTGGTTCATATTATATGAATTTTCACAAGACTTGTATCAATGACAAATCAATGGCAAAGTTTAATATTTAATTGCCGTATTATTATGACTTTAAGATATTTCTATTTTGATTGGTGTTAACATGAGGAGTGAGCTAACAATCAATCAGATTGTATGTACCCGATATGCTCTACATTAGTAATTGTTTTACATCATAGCGCCTTAATTCTCAATTCTTTTGAATTTTTTCAAAGTTCAATATTGAATATGATGTTTGCATGATTGTAGATCATTTGAAGGCATATCAAATGCTGAGAGCCCCACAGAGAGCCATCAAGAGTTTGAAATGAGCCCTCCTGATAAACATCAACATTTCCTCATAAAACCCACACCAGAACGTGTCCGTAGAGTCTCCACCAATGGCACGATGAGGATAGAGGTCACAACAACCAAAGACCCTCTACCCCCAGAAACCATCAAGCTGCGTGACCCTCGAGAAAGTATTGACTCTGGGGTGGACAGTAAACGAACTTCGATTGATAGTCGTTTTGATTACAGTAAAAGGACTTCAATGGATAGCCGTTATGATACATATAGCAAACGTGCATCGATGGACAGTCGAAGTTATGACTCGCCATATAGTAAAAGACCCTCCATGGATAGTCGATATGACACTCATAGTAAACGTACCTCAGTGGATAGTAAATATGAAAGTAAGAGGACCTCTATAGACAGCAAGTGCTATGATATGAAACGGGTTTCTATTGATAGTAGAAAAATAACAGGTTTGTATGAAAACTTATAAATAATTTATTTGGTGTATACTTACACACAATGTTAAATTTTTGATTCTTTGTCGCCACCAAAAATCACTTTTATATTGGTGAAATTTTGTCATGTTTATGCCTATTGAACTTGTTATGAAGCAATGATTGAAGAAATGATTGACTCGAAACTTGGAAGAGCTTATCTTGAACAACATTGTATTTTGATTTAAAATGTTCACAATTTATTGTAATATAGCAAAAATTCATAAGAGACAAAAGTTTAACTTTTAGGTCATTTTGATTTTATCAGCATGAAATTGTATGTTTATTTCTAGAATTAGAAGTCTACAGTACTACATTGTAGGCTATGATCCTCAGGATACACACCACATATGTTTAACTAATACCACATGTGATATCACAAAGCTTAACAGTTCTGATAGAATCTCTTCTTGCATCTTGGAATTTTGATGTCTTGCAAAATTTTAAATGCAGTCACATATGTCCAATAGTTGATCTGAAGAATTTGTATTTGTAGATGATTACATAGAGGAGGTCCCTTCTGACAGACCTGTGACCCCCACCAGTCAGGAAGTAGCGGGCCTGCTCCAGCCACCAAAGTCTCATCTAGCCCCTATCGCTCCTGCAGAAAGTATCGCAGACACTCCCTCAGAATCTGAGTCCCCCCAGGAACCATCCCCACCCCCAGAACGACCGAGTGTCACATGTATCACATTTACAACTGTACCTGGCGAATCAAGCTCAGATAATCTGTTAAGTCCACCAGTTCATACAACCACCGCATCATCTTCCATGGAGACTCTAGTTGACTCCCAGGGTGCCCCTAGCCCTCAACAGATTAGTGCAGCACCAAGCTCAGACACCCTCTGTCCTGGGTCAGCAACTAACAGCCCGGGGATTTCACCATACGGATCACCGAAAAAATCACCAAGTAAACTGATGCAGAAAGTTAAAAAGTTTGATGTGCCACCGTTGAAGATCCCAAGTGTCAGCTGCATGGATGCACTGGCATTGTCTCCAACTTCAAGTCCAACATTTGCACGTCGTGGAACTTCACCGAGTAGTGCACCTGGATTTGACAGAAAGGCAACATCTCCAATCTTGAGGAAACCTGTAAGCAAAAGAGCATCTTCACCTAACTTACAAAGAGGTAAATTATGTATTTTTGTTATGGAATTAATATATTGCATGCATGCTTTTTGCATTTTTATCACTTTGTAGTGATGTACAATGTACATCTGTCTCAATATTCCACCAAAGCTGTGCTTGATCGTTTGATCATGGAAATACATGTACAAGGATGTCTTTGTATTCAAAGATCTGAACCCAAACTGGTAAAATTCAGTCAAAATTGGCAACTTGAAGGTTGTAACACAAATTTTACATTTTATAAAGGACCTATATATTTTTTATTATAAATTATTTATTAAACATTTATTATGATATGATAAGCAAGTATTTAAGCTGCAGACATATCCTGCTATTACTTTTTTGTTGATGCGTAAGCAACAGCATGATACCCCCTCCCTTGATTATATAGCTAATTTTGCTTTGATATATGTTGTAGGGTCTCTGCCATTACGGCGTCGTGCTCCCTCCCCCGTGTTTCCCAGTAGCAAGAAATCTCCTGTGTCAAGCCCCAAGCTTCAGCGAGCCCCTTCCCCCATTATATACAGCTACTCTACACCCAACTTGGGCACAAAGTTCAAAACTTCTGGTAACTTTATTTCATTGTTTGAATTTTTGTTATTCATATGTGTTTATTTATTTGATTATAATTCTTTTTAAACCCATATTTGTCAGAACCTTTTGTATATTACGGCCATATGCCTCTTAATATATGTTCTTCTTCGTGTAAAATTTTGAAATACTGCAGGAGAAAGTGCAATGGGCATTTATTTGGAAGTGAATACAAATGAATGCCCAAACAACCTAAAACCTATAAGCAATAGCAAGATTTTGTTTTTAGCCTCAGGGAAGAGACCCAGCACAATGAGTGCTGATGCCGACTATTCAGGTGCTTTCTCCTCCCCCAGGAATAGTGTAGCAGCAAATCCTGAGGGGTCACCTCCACAGGCTAAAGCTGGTGCTGTAGTGACATCCTCTCGTGCTTCAAAACGCAGGTATATATAAGGTGGTCCGATAAAATTTAGTCCCTTTATTACAAGCAAGCATTAAATATTATTTTAACTATAATGATATATACCATTGGAAAGCTACATGTAATTTATATTCTATGATTTGGCATATATAGGATTTATACTTGTCGGGAACTAGGTTAGTATTTTGATGTATGTTGACAAATTTATTTTGGAAGTAAAAGTCCATTACATTTTGCTGTGGTTATGTACATTGAATCATGAAGTGATTTTTAATGTGAAATTTCTTGGGGTGGGAGAGGAATAATTCTGAAATGTAAACCAGTCAGATGTTTTCATCTGTATGAGTGACACAAAAATGGACCATGCATGCATTGAGAATTTTCATGAACTCTGATCATTCATAAAAAATATTCTTTGTATACATGACAATGTATTATATATTCTGCCAGATCTAGTTCAGTAGCAGCGACTACTGCATTTGCTGCAGCCACAGCTGGCTGTTCCCAGAAAAACTCTGGGAATACTTTACCACCCCCTCGTCGCATCAGCAGGTTTCACAGTGCTGGTAAGGAAGTGCTGCTGCCACAGGAAATAGTCCCTATTTAGAAATAGTTCTTTGATGTTGTTCACCCCATATATTATATATTAATGTTGTATTTTAGGAAAGTGATTTGTTTTGGAAGAATATAACATATTTTGAAGAGTTATAATGTTCTTGTCCCACCTCCTAAAATTTATCACAAATGTTATCCCTTAAAACTAAAATGCTATGTTGCTTTGACAGTTTATGCAATAAAAACCCTTTGAATGAAAAACTAATGAATTAAATGAATATTCTTCCATTTCAAGTTACATGATAGAAAAATCCTAACACTCACATTTTATTTTAAATTTCTGAAATTCTTTAGTTCTTAATTTTAGGTATCACAGATTATGTTCGACTCATTTTATTAGTTGTCTAATACCCAGGGTGGATTGTCCTTGGCAATTTCAGCATCATCTGAAACCACTAAGTAGTGCTTGACTGGCATTTCCTATTTATTCAGTTTATTCACAAGTGATTTTAAAAACTCTAAATCAGTCATGAATCATCATTCTTAAGCAATGTCTTGAAACAGTTATTTATAGTATACATGTAGGTACCATACATAAATTTCAGTACTTTCGGTACTGTGAATTAGGTATAATGAAAATTTATGTTTTCTGTCTTCACCTTATGAAGCACTTAAACAATGGTCATGTGACAACTGTATCCACCCTGTGTATTAGTATTTAGAAATTATGCGATTAGGTACACATTTAGGTATTTACTGTAGCTAATACTCCATTGTTTGCATGTTAAAATAAATAGGTGGATGTACTAAACTACATGTACGTAGATTAGTGGATTAAACTAGCAGCCCCTTCATTAGTATACTTGTGTACTGGGTGGTTAATATCCCACTGGACGAAGTTCAGTAGGGATATAGGGAATCCTGGAATCTGTCCATCGGTCCATCTATCTATTCTGGCAATAATACAGATCCTCATGGACTGATTTTCTTTATCTTGAACTCCACTTTACTTTCCAAAGACTAACCAAAACAAATAATGGTGGTGATTTCATTACTATGAACAAGATTTTTCATTTTAACCCAAATTAAAAAAAGAGAGAGAATGAAGAATTCTCTTAAAATAGCCAATAATGATTTGGGAAAACATTTTTTGTTCATTGGGATTGTCTACTCTGTGACGTTGCCCTTTTAAAGAGAGAAGGAATCAAAGGAATCAAAGTTCACTTTTTATAACATGATGTCTGACCCAAGTATGGTCATGGGTTCTTATTGAAACCCCATGATATGTTTCAGCTCAATCCTAAATAACTACAATATAACAATATGTACATCCTATGCAGAAACGTCATGCATAGCCCTGCTTTCAGATGATGTGAACTGCAATGATTCCTACTCTAAATGGTGATTTAGGTCCATACCTTATATAGTCATGACCTTATATGGAAGTTTAGTTGGTATTGTACTGTGTTGTAGATCTAGCTCTGCGGCTGCAGCGTCAGCTTTTGCCGCAGCAACAGCTGGTTGCGCTAAGTCTAAACCAGGTGTGGTGCCACCTAGGGGGATTAATCGGTACCATAGTGGAGGTACTAGTCATTGGCATCTGAAGTTTCTGAGGCACTGTCCTATTTGTTAGCACTAAATTTTACATACGAAACATATAAAGAATCATCTTATAATCGTTTAACATAAATTTATAATATTGTATTGTATATGTTATTTTTGAGATAGAATAGAAATTAACTGAAAAAGAATCAAGTCAGTAACATTAGGATGGGTGCCATCTAGCAATTACTGAAATCATAGACAAATATAATCATATAATATGCATATATATTTATCAACCTAAATATCATACTTTCATTCTTTATGTCAGAAAAGAATTCTACACAGAATTTAGTGTGAAACATTTGAGACTGCCTCTCAATTTTTTGAATCCACAATATATGTTGTTTTATAATATTAATATATTCATTTATATAATTGTGTAGTTTTTAGTTTACATTTCCATTTTATTTTCAAGTTTAAAGTTTTGAATGAGACTATTCAGTACTATGTACACTTATGCAAATGTTTTTCCAAAAGTACAATATTTAGCATATGAACATTTTTTAGTTAAAGAGTGAAATTGTATTAGGAAACTGAAAAACAGGTCAGTACATGGTTTATTTAATGTATCCAAATTATATGATAACTATCAAACAAAAATGATTACCAACAACTGAACAGTTTAACCTGTATATCCAAACACCTCTCTAATCTGAACACCTCCCAATGTGAACACTCTTCCAGTCCCATTTTTTCCTTCAGTTGAATTTCATGTTTAAAAGCCTTGAACCTCTCAATTTGAACATTAAAAATCATATTTGAAAAATTAACCTGTTCTGTACAAAATTGCACAAGTATTTTCTATCAATCACTATTTTTATGATAGCCAGAAATAATTAAATAGTCTAAACCACGGTGTGTCATAACTAATTCATTTGAATTCTCAAATATTGGAATACTATAATATAAATTGAACAGTAAATATTCATTGAGAATGTGAAATATTTTGAAATGTGAACACCTCCTGTCTGAACTCTTTTAGCCTTAACCAATGGTGTTTGGATTATAGACAGGTTTTACTGTTCATTATATGAAAATATTCTATATAATATCAGAACAAGACGTCCCAGGTAAATGTTAGAAGACTAAAATATCTGTACTGTATTATACTGAACTGTACTGTATTTGATCAAACTGAACATAGCATACTTTACACATACTTTTGCATTGTTAGGACCAGCAGATTTAAAGCCATACCTTTATGCCAAGAAGAGAGAGTCTGTAATAAGCACTGCAGCCACCATGAGAGTATTGAATGTAGTCAGGCACTGGGTGACAAAGCATGGACAGGTAAATTTTTGTCGCACTTTGAAATAGTGCTTTATTGACACCTTGTGCTGCTGGGCATGCCTGTGGGAGGGCAGATTGTTCTCTTAAATAACTGTACGGTGAAATAATAATTTTTAACCTATGTATTCAAATGAAAATGAAGTTTTGTATACTGCAATGCTGAATAACAAGTTTCAATCAAATATCTATTTAAAATGACCTGGACAGATTACACATCAATCATTGTATAGTAAGATATCACTGTGATCCTTGTGACATGATGTAACTAAAACCTGAAAACAGCGTCACAAAGTTTTGTTGTGAGATTCAATTACTGATATAATGTGCACTATATATGATTAGAAAATATGACATATAACTATATTTAGGACTTTGAGAATGACCCTGCCTTGAAAGATGATGTGAAAGACCTGATGGAAGAAATGGTGTTTAATGCCAACCTCCTTCCCGCAGAACACAAGGCTGCAGCCTCCATACTGCGTCAACTTACTAGAGAGGACCCCAACAGCAGCAAAGTGGACCTCGACCTATTGCTGGCTCCACCCCTGGTAGGTTTTCTTTGAGCAGGGTATCAATAACTATGTCAAAAAATATAATATCCTGACTGAAAGTGCCCCTTATGTTATTACAAAATGTTTGAAATGGTATTGTTTTGTAGTTTTTGTTGTTTAATGAATGGAATAAACTGAAACTGAAGAATTTAACCTTGGATTTAAGAGGTTGAAGAAGGCGGTAGATCATTGGTTCCTTTGTAAAAAATGTAAAACTTCGCATATTTCAGAAACCTTCAAAGGATGATTTTGACTCACTATCTGCTCTTGATATAGCTGAGCAACTGACCTACTTGGACCACAAGATCTTCATGGCTATACAGAGTCAGTAAGTAAAGCCACAAATAGTTATTGATATCATATAGGACTGACCATAAGCTTGGATGTTATTTTTGATAATTTCATAAAATGGCTTGAATTCCATGAATAACAAACTGTGATTTTGACAGTACCCATTAATCCAATACACTATCTACGACTTTTAAAGCATTATAGTTCATTCGTGATTTAGGTATGAATTTGGTATGCTCGTCATATTTCATGGAACATACAGAAACTAAGAACCACTCAGAACGAGGCAAAACTTTATTGTACCTTCTTATACTTTGTAATTGGTTACCAGATGGACAGGTTAGGCTGTGCTGTGAAATCTTTTTTATACATCACATAGTAGCAGTTTTTTTCTTGCTTTCAGTGAGTTACTTGGCCAATCATGGATGAAGCCTGAGAAATCTCACATGGCGCCTCATGTCCTATTGGTTAGTAAGAGATTCAATGAAGTCAGCCGATTGGTCGTCTCGGAAATTATTGGTCGCCATGGGAGCATCACAGATCGGTTAGCGTGTATTGAGAAATGGGCAGCCATCGCTGATATATGTCGCTGTATGCACAATTATAATGGTGTGTTACAGATCTGTGCAGCTTTTGTTAACTGCTCAGTCTATAGACTGAAAAGGACTTGGGAAAGGCTTCCTAAACAGGTATTTGTAAAACACCTGCTATCGTAAAACCTGTCTAAACTGCTGATCTTGGGATGTATTAAACGAGTAGTCTTATGTCAGAATATCTATATTTGTAAATAGCTGAACAAATTGTAAGAGACAAGCATTTACATGCATGTAATGATAAAACATTGTACTGTATATTGTCATACCTATGGTAAATGGTCAGTGTGATTTTACAGACAAAGCAGATGATTGAAAAGCTGCAGACATTAGTGTCTTCTGATGGGAGGTTCAAGAACATGAGAGATGCCCTTCATAGGTAGGTGAAAATAGATTCTTCCTAATTAACAAATATTCCTTAAGACAAGACAATAACAGGGAAAACTAAAGATGGAGTTGTGAATCTTTTCAAGTTGCCTTGGCTCCAGAATCTTAGGCAAACATGATGGGTTTGGTTGAGTCATGACATTTATGAACTTCAAGATGTGGTCACTCTATTATTTTCTGTACATACAGTGATATAATAATGGCACTATTTGACGAGCTCATATGGTAGTCCCTGTGCTAATTCCTTTATTACAAATTATTATTACAAATTATTACTACATTACTATTTGATTTGCATTGAGGAATACTTTTTGAAAACTTCTTTCAACTCTTATAGAATCATCATATTTTGGAAGCATTTTAAATTAAGTTGAGAAAGTAGGGAAAATATTTAATACCCAGGATTTAATATTTGAAATGAACTGCTACTGTGGCAGTGTTTTATACATTGCATGCCTCAAAAGGCAACTCTACCATTGTTTTTCCAAACAAAATTTTGTATTTTTCAGGTGTGATCCCCCTTGTATTCCATATCTGGGCATGTACCTGACTGATTTATCATTCATAGAGGAGGGCACCCCCAACTTCACAGAGGAATCAGGGTTAGCTAACTTCAGCAAAATGAGAATGGTAAGTGGCTGTGTTAAATAATGCATTGCTAGTTAGAGTGCCAAAAGAAAGCCTGGCAGGTGGGACTAGAATTTGAAAGCCTCTTGACAAAGAACAAGGATATTTTAGCTACATGCTACTTATATAACCTTTCTTAAAGTATGATCCTTTATGAATGAGACTATATTACTGTACACACACTATTACATCATTACATGTACATGCATTAGTACAGTGCATTTGTAAATAATCAAGCTTTTATTTGTTTCAAGGTTGCCCATGTTATCAGGGAGATCCAGTTGTTCCAGCAGACTACATATAGGATAGAGCATCATCCTAGGGTAGGTTTATGTCCAATCCATCATCACTTCATCCAAAATGATTTACTTATATTTCCTCTAAAAATCTCAAAGTTCAAGTTGTGATTCATGATTTTTTGTTAAACCTTCAGGAGACCCATCATTTATTTGATTTGTCATTTACAGTAAACCTGTCCAAGTGGAACACCTTTGGTACCTCTTATAGGTGTTCCACTTCAAAAGGTGTTCCACTAATAGAGGTTAATTTAACATAAGTCAGTTGGTTTTGAGCTCTGAAAAGTCTTCCACTAATGTTAATAGAGCTGTCCCACTTGTAAAGGTGTTTCACTTTATAGGATTCACTGTATTCTCAACTACTGTGCGTGAAGGGATACTGTGACTATGCAACACATGAATGACCATATGTATGCCTAAACAGCTGATGTAGTTTTTTTATTTACTTTAGGTGACAAATTACCTACTGGATCCTTCAAGACTCCTTGAAGAAGAGGAAACATATAGAGCATCATTGTTGATCGAACCACGTCAATCTCGCATTTCAACTGTCACAACACCAACACCATGACACACCACATATCAGTCATGACTCACCACAACTCATAAATGAATGAGTGAAAAATAAATACTCATTATTAGGAAAAATCTGATTTGTACATGTAAATACTGATAGTTTGTATTAATATACATGTAAATGTAGTTAAAACAAGAAGAAAATCATATGAATTGAACAATTTTAAGAGGGTCATATTATTATGATGGAATACATATTTAAATTCTATCATTCATAATAAACATTGACAGATAGAAAGTGACACGGTTCATCTCAGTTTGATTGTTCAACAGAATAATTCATATTCTTGAAGTTAGAGATGATGACTGAAAATAAGTACATGATCAATGAAAAGAGACAAAGATCATAGAATATATAAGTATATGATCTATGAACGACAGGCGTGGGGCATATTGTCTACTATAAATCATACAATATGATTATATATTGTACATCATTTATTGTGTTGCAGCTATATAGTAGATTAGATTTAGAGAATTCTCATTGTAAGATTAATCAATTAGCATTAGGAGTCATCATATTATCATATAGGCTACATGTCATTTTAAACATTATCAGAAAACTTGGGTGACAATGTCCATATGTCAATGAAATGAATTGTATTATGGAAACCCCCTCCCTAGATGATAGATTTTAAACTGTTGATTCGTGTTTCAACTGAATCTAAAACAGCAACATTCAACACATATGAATTTAGAGAAGGGGTATTCCTGTCATTTGAAATACAACTGTTTCGGAAAGAAAACCATTGCAAACCCCTATAATACATATTAAGGTGCCAGTGGGGAATCTCTTTTTACATCAAATTGATTCTGTCAGATACATATAAGATAGTATGAAAACAATTTTTAAAAAGAACTTGTTTGATACAACATGTTTATGTATATTTCAGTCACAATATACACGCCATCACACATTATACAAGTCAAATGCTCACAAAAACTTGTGAGTTGTAATGTGAGTATGTATTGTAACTGCTCTTTTAAACCATGCTCACTGTTTTCATATTGCATAAAATAATACTGTCACCATCAATTTACTTCTACATTAAAACCTGTTCAAGTGGAATGGAAGGAATAAAATGTTTGAATCACAGAGGTTCAATCAAAAATTAAACCAGTAGGTCAGTTCCATTTTAGAGGTGCGTCCACTTGACAGGCTGTGATGTAGGTGAGCTCAAATCCAATATATATCAATAGAATATATTAAATGTATAGGTAGTGGCATTTACAAGGGGTGATCAATAAAGTCAGTCTTGGTTTCCTTATAAATATGTAATCATCGTGAGGGTCTACCATCTGTTCTTTTCTTTGCAAGGATGGTCTGAGTATCTCAATGTCATACTGTTAAATCAGTGCATAATCCTTCAGTCATAGCAATGTAAATTCCTCAATGGATCAAGATGTCTGAATGCCAGGCAATAGACTTATTACAAGCTACCTGTTTATTATTATATTATATGAAATGATCTTGTAGATAACAGCAAACTAGTACCACCTATCAGAATCATCATTAGAAGTCTGTTTGTTAAAAATGCAGTGTTGTTTGTGAATGAATTATGAAATGGTATGCCTTACACAACTGTGTAAGTTGTGTCTAAATAATAATTGATGACACAACTGTGTAAGACTTGAATTTCATGGTAACTTGTTAGATAGATGGAGTTTCATTTATCATGATGAGCAAATGAAAGGTCTACATAATGTGTTTAACATGTATGTGTACATTATTCCTACACCGTATTTATACATTATGACTACAATATATGAAGTCAAATAAATAGGCATGATGAACACTTTTTGACATGAATACATAATGACTACTCCAAATGTGGACATGATGTCAACACTTAACATTTGTAGACATAATAATTGATCTAGTACATTATGACTTCACTGAATACTTACATAATGACTACACTATACAACATATATAGACACAATGCCACAGCTATAAGACCTTGTACACATTCTAAATACACTAAATCTGTACATGATGACTATACCATACACTAAACATGTATGTAGACATTATGACTATATGACCTCGTACTTGTTACACATTATGACTACAATCAAGTGTACATGATGACTACACTATACATTTTGACATTATAACTACACTCTAATTGCAATCAGTGTATTTTGAATTCCAGGTCATAAAAATTTATGGTCACTGAAATTGAAAATGAAAGCATGGGGATCGAAAATGAAAGCATGGGGTTTGAAAATGAAAGCATGGGGTCATTTGCAAAGGAAAATGAGCATTAAATGATCAATCATCAGTTTTCATTGATCTCTTATAATGTACAGTGAGTTGTAAACATTGTAAATAACTGTATAGTACATACATAGCTGTTTTCATGTATCACTTAGAATGTTGTCATACAAGTTCTTTGCAGATTAGCTCATGTTTACATTGAGACTTTATATTGGAATTCGTTTTGTTGTAGTTTTTAGGGTTTTTTCTAATGCTGCCTTTTGTGGTTCCTTCTTAATGGGACAGAAAGGTCAACAGTTGAAAACAGACTTATTGAATAAATAACATTTGTGGTTTTTGAGTCCACTCTGGAATTGATGAAAATCACAATTTAGCTAGGAGTTGTTCATTTGTACATCTATGAACTATTCCCCAAAAATTTATAGTAAGTTACAGTTGAAGCAACTAGCAACATCTGAATTCTGGGTAAGGGTTTTATGTCATGTGAGTTGGCAGCTCAGTTCCGAAAGATTTAGATCAGTCGCATTGCAAGTCAAGGAGGCATGTGTTAAAGTACTGCATTTATTTGTATGAATGAATATCCTCTTTTATTTATTTAACCTACTCATAACAATCAGGTTGGTGCAGCATTTGTGGAAAGAAAACCATCAATATTTCATCTTTTTTAATATGAATTTGTGTTGTATTGTACAATGCCAGAGTGTATGGCAATTCAAGTATCACGCTTTCATTCCTCTACAAAAACAACAAAATAATGGGGATAACAGGGTGAAAATTAAGAAATAATGACATTATTCTCATGAGAATTTTACAATTATGTATCATTTATGTGCATTTTGGTGCCATATGTTAGAGAGGGTGTTGCCATATTTAGATGTTCTCAGATGTAGTTATCCACTACTATTCTTGCATTTTAACACTTCGGTATATTTTGAAGGTTGTATTCAGTGGGAAGGATGTTTCACAGGATTCTGGGTAGAATGTGCTCCATCAAAAGTATGTTGCATTCTGGGAAGAATGTTATGTGGAATGTGTTACATTCTGGGTAGGATCTTTGTTGCATTCTGGGAAGAATGTCTTATAATCTTGGACGGATGTTTAATGGGATGTTTAATGCTCTTTATTTCAACGATTTTTCTATTTTAAGTCTCAACACAATGACCTCTGTTTTGGTGTTCTGTACAGTGAGACAGAGTTGAGATGAAATATATAAATATTAACATATCATACATCTGTCTTTTCACAAAAATCAGAATAGGTTTGAAAGTGGCTTTATCAATGAGTAAAAAATGTAAATGAAAATGTGGAAAATGTATCCTAGGCAAAACATGTACAGTGTACTGAGGTTGCAAATATTGATAAATACATATGTAACTTGCTTCAATGGATGTAAACTATCAGACGGTCTGTTTTGTAGCCATAACACCATTGACGCACGATCCTCTGAACTCATTCTATATTTTTGTGGAGAGAAATGTAAATCAATCATTTTTTGTTAGCACATGTGAAATTTATTTTTGTAATTATTTCTTTAACACTTCAATGAATTAGTAACAGTTTCAATTAGCATTGTTTAGTTTTACAAGGCCTGTCTGATCTCATACTTTGGACACTTTCAATAATAAGCTTTAAATACTGTTTATAAATATATGAAAATGCTGCATTTAGTTTTTAGAAAGTGTCCTCAGAAGTACAGCAAATAAAGCATGCTGCATTAGAACCAGGCGTGGGATAGCTTAGGCAATTAAGTTTCTTTCTAAGATTTTTACCTTTAAAACAGTGGAAATTAAGTGAAATGGCAGCTTGAGTCGTAAGACATTTGACATAGCAACATGGTTGTTACATGTTTCTGATTTTCCGGTCCTTTATCTGTCTTATGAGATAATGATTGTAGTTAGGCTCAGAAAGGGTAGCCTTGTCCAAGTCGGTCTCTTTTACTTATCTTGATTTCTATTATGATATAATTAAAGATCAGATAAGTAAAAAAAATACCGAGTTGGGCATGGCCAAGAAAGGAGTTTGTTATCCATTCCTCAGATCTATTGGTCACCTTGTCTGGCACAACAACCAATTGATGATTGCTCGCTATTATATCATATATCTTGCATTCCAATAAGAACTTATTTTACACTATTGAACTATATATATATAGTAGGTAGATGTATATATATAAAATTGCACTGCTCTTGTACAGTATATCTCCACTGCTCTTTTTGTCGAAATTTTTACTATATATTCTTATGAGTCTTTCAGATATATTGTTGATATTTAGCACTGTTTCAATAATGTATTCATTTGTTGTTACAGTATAACTATATATATTATATATACAATGTTTACTATAATGTCATTATCACTAAAATGTACATGTATAAAATGTATATTTATGTGGAAACATGTTTTTGTGTGCAATATGTACCGTTTGTGCAATCTTCAACTCAACTCTTATAGTATAAGGTATGTAGTGATTGATCTATTGTAGGTCCATATTTACTCTTTGGGACCTGTTACTATCTGCATTTATACAAATGCTCTTTACTAATTATCGTGAAATTGTTAAATTGTATTTTTTCCAATTCTATTATATATAAATATTATTATATTTAATTATTGACAATATTATTATATATATTCATATATTTTATCTTTGTGATATTGGAACTGGATTTGTCTAGTTAATAACTCTCTTGTTTTTTGTCATAAAGCAACTGTTTAAATCTGAAACTAAAGTTGTTTTGTTGTTTAATAAGGAAACTGTCAAAGACTAAACTTGTATTGTATTCGCGAATGCTACCTACAGTAGCTGCTGCCGGGTTGATTGCAATTTAATGGCAAACTCATATAAATATGAAAAGTAGCTGTTTTGTACTCCAGTAGCTGCTTTGCTAATTGACGGGTTGACTATGAAAATCAGTAGGTTAATCCAGTAGGCGACAGTCGAAAGTTGCATTCGCGAATACAAGCTTAAGGTACATTTTACACAGCAGGGTTAAATTCCTTTGTTAGGAACCATTTTGACTAAAATCTCCCAATGATTTTGTGCCTCTGTAACACCTCAAAACCATTATTTTCAAAATACATCATAAAGAATCAAATGAACCTGCTGTATAACTCTAAACATAGGTTTCCTATGGTTTTGAAGGTTTATCTGTGGTTGATATCAATGTAACATCTTACAAATGGTTGGAAATACATATCCAACCATGGGTATCAATATCCCTGAGTGCATATAGCAAATGGTTCAAAGTATATGGCTCCTATATTCTACATCTCAACT